AGTCATGCAATACCATACATCAGATTAGGTGCAGTATAGTCCCAGATTTCAGTAAGGGGCCCCCTAGAGAAGTCCAAACTTGATCTTAGTCCCAAAATAATATATATGGTTTTCCTTTCTGAAAACCGCTCTGTTCCTTAAATTGCTCCCGACGGTCTTGACCAGAGAGGGGCAGAGTGAAGGGAGCTTTGCCGTCCTCTTCCTCTCCCCGCTCATCGGCGGGCTGACTCTCCGTGAGCTCCATTTTATGTGTGACGGACATCAGCAGCATATCAATCTGCTCTCCGTCTGGCTGCCGTTTCTCTGTCCTCAGCCAAATTGAGATGCACAGTCTCACCTGTTTGGGAATTACTGCAGCTTCCCCTCCTCACAAAGCAAAGCGGCCCAGGCAAAGAAACGGTGAGCCCTGACTGCTTCATTGAAATTAAGACTGCTGACAGAGCATTCTGGATCCATTAATGTGACACACACACTGGAATCTTCAACACGTATCGCTATAATCAGAGCCGTCTACAACCGGCCAGCTAACGAAGTGTCAGCATGTCTTACAGTCCTAATTAAAAAGGCTAATTAAACAACGCAGAAGCTGTTTCGACAAATACCTCTTCACAGCTTCTGTCACTGATAAAAGCAGATATTCTTTGACTTGACCTTTAGCAGTTTGAGAAATGTCTAAGCACTTAGACCCTTACAAGAGCCCTGGCTTCAATAAATACGTGTCCTTAACTTTGGCCTTTATTAAAACACTTGTTTTAAATTTTGAGAAAAAATTTGAGGGAGAACACGTGTTACTTTTATCTTGACAAATACGGTTTTATGAATTCAGCAATCAGAAAAAAATCTGACTGAAAACATAATCTATGACCATCAAATGTTCCTCACAAACCGAGGGCACATCCCACTACGACACCTGCCGCCATCTTAGGTCTGGTCTTAAAATTTGGCCACCACACTTCTTGAACCGCCCAAAACCTCTAATGTCCATGCTCGATAATGCCCTCAACTTCTCCATTAGCATCTGTGTGCAAAAACAAGTTCTTTTTGTATATCTTCCAAAATCCTTCATGTTCTGCATTGCCAATTCCTGCCTGTTCTTGGCTCATGGAGGCATATCCCTGCCGAACATCGCTTTTTCTTCTCATTTGCATTCACATTACAATCACAGCAGGGCTGTAACAGCAGGGTCCAAAAGAAAGTAATGGCAAATTGATTATTACACTGAAATTTTCTTTCTTTTTCATAGATCGTGCACACTCAAATAAGGAAATGAAAAGGCGAACGAGATCTTTCAAATCCACATATGCTTTATGAGTGTCAGCAGGATATTGGTTCACTCTTTCTGCTTAGAAAAAACAGCTTTAATGGTTTTGGACACAGTTTTTTTTTTGTCCAATAAAGCATCTAGCTTTAACCAATCAGAAACTCTCAAGACCTCTCTTTTCCCTCTGTTTCTGTTGAAGGACCTACATCTCACCATCTTCCCTGAACAGCTACTCGCAGCTCGCATCCGATTTACAACTCCAATTCCGCTAACCCCGTCCTTGGTACTGTATATATCTTACGTCTAATAGCATATTGTCCTTTTCTCTTCACTGCCCTTGTTAAACCCTCACCTCCCTCTAACAAAGCTAGGTCAAACTCATATTTGAAATTATTTAACCATTTCGAGGCCAGCAACAATTTCAGAGGCAAAGAGAAGACTGCAAGTGCTTTGGGCTAGAGATTCAGCTTGTTTTCAGGATGACAAGGATTGAATCGCGTTGCTGGGTGATTGAACAAATGAGTCACAAAATAATGACTCAAATAATCCCTCCAGTACTAAAGAGATTGAAAGTCAAAAAGCTTGGTTTATTTTCTGCAAAGGGCTCAGAAATTCTTTGTTTAATGATTAAACAGGATTGTGACAAAAATGCAACTGAAATGCCAAAATACGCGGTGTTTTCTATTCAACACTTGAAACGGAGAGGAAACATTAGTCAAAGGAGACTCATTGTTCACTCAGGTGCATGTCAAATGGAAGCACTTAAGGCAGGAAACGGATTTTGAAGTGAAAATTTCAACAACGACGCATGTCAGCCGTACCTATTAAAAAAGCAGCTGGGCTTCAGATTGAATTTTTTTTTTTTTTCTTTAGGCAGAAAATCCTTACATAATTTTATATGAATGAAATGCTGAGAAGCAGACGGGGTTCTAAGGAATGACTCAATACACGGTACACATTATATAATTTGTTTTCATGTTAAATCAACAGTGCAGGGACAAAATCACCCACTCTGTGTTTGCATTAAGTATGGGGACTGAATCACTGTTCCACTTTCTGTTTTTGTAAAGCATGCCTAGGTCAGTCTGTGTGTCTGTTTGAAGTGTTAAGATTGAAACAAGGAATCAGTCTGTGAGACTGTATCAAGTGTTTTGACTAAATCACTGGCTCAGTCTCGGTGCTTGTGTGACGTATGGGGACTGAATTACTGAATCGGTCTCTGTGCTTGTGTGAAGTACGGGGAGTGAATCCCTGAATCTGTCTCTGTGTTTGTGAGAGGTATGAGTACTGAATCACTGAATCAGTCTCGGTGCTTGTGTGACGTATGGGGACTGAATCACTGAATCAGTCTTGGTGCTTGAGTGAGGTAAGGGGACTGAATCACTGAATCAGTCTCGGTGCTTGAGTGAGGTAAGGGGACTGAATCACTGAATCAGTCTCGGTGCTTGTGTGACGTATGGGGACTGAATCCCTGAATCTGTCTCTGTTTGTGTGACGTATGGGGACTGAATCACTGAATCAGTCTCGGTGATTGTGTGAAGTATAGGGACCGATTCACAAAGTCAGCGCCTGTGCTAGTAGGTAGGTATCGGCTGGCTCAGCGAGGCGAGACGCTGCTCCCTGAGGCACACAGGAGAGCGCCTGCTGTGGCCCCTAGTGTACCAGGCGGAGCCAGATGCCCCAGGGCCCCACTGGGACCCCGCGGCAGGCGGGTGGCGGGGCTCATATGGCAGCGTCCCTAAACAGAACGTCCCCGCGCAGCGGGACCAGGTACGCCACCCTGCCTCTCCCCTCCCTAGGCTGGGAATCCACGCACAGAGGTTCTGCTCCATTTGCTCTCCTTAATCAAATTCAACTCACGGCAATGACTCATTCACCCACTTGGCCCAATGTGCGCATACAAATATCTATCTGAGGCATGGCATTTATTAAAAACTTCTCATGATCGTAACGTTTCATCAGTCCTTCCACAATTGCAATCTTTCCCATGAATGCCACACAATGCACAGTGTTAATAGCAGACGGCACTATTTTCTTAGTTACCTTTGCTAATTCTAAACTACTTTTGGGCTGAATAAAAATGGGTTCGTTCTATCCCATCAATCAAAAAAATTCCCATTTGAAGCATATATATTTTAAAATGCTGGAAGTAACACATTGTTCATCGGAAATAATCGAATCCAAGTCAAAAACCCCTGATGACAATTCAATAATACAGTATACCGTAAAGTAGGATTCTCACACAGTTATTTTTAAACCACTTTTGGGGCCTCATAGCGCCATAAATGCACAATTTCGAATCAATTTATGTTGCGTTTAAAGTCAAGCTGCATTTGAAACCAGCCTCATGCGAGCGACCCCCTAAATGCTTGCATACATAAATGCTTAATCATACTCCACACTTCCAACCTTATATGTGCGTGTTTCTGCGGCTTTTATAACCCTTTATATACATCTCTGGAGTCTGAAGAAAGTGCCAGGGATATAACTCAATGCATTTTTTCTCACAAATTCAATAATAGATATACTGTACATATTCTACAGCTGTTAAGATATGGCTGGTCTCATAAGCTTCTTCATATGAATAAAAGAAACGTTGCTTTTACTTTCAGGTGATGTCATTCATGAGAGGAGAAAAAATCCTCTTGACAGAAGAGTTATAGTGATGAACGTGTATTAATAAAGCTGAAAAAAGAGAAGGCTGACATTTTTTGCATAGCAGAATTTTAGGGGGAAAATCTATATACATTTATATTTAATGAAATAAGGGCAAAAAAAAAAAAAAAGAACGATAAACATACTTGATAAAAGACCAGAATATGAACCACAGATGTTGTTTCAAATAAATGCTGTTTTATATGAATGTCATCTACTTAGAAAAATGTTTTTCAAAACGCACAATAATCATGGCAAGTGCATATGACTAGCCAAAGGGCATAACAGCTGAGTTTTTAATGTAAAGCTACAAGCCCAAACTAGGGTAGGAAAAATATTCAGATTGAAATAAAAACAAAATGTAGGGCACTGAAGTGAGAAAACAGGACTATTTAATGGTTTCCTTTGCTGTCTATCATTTAAGGATATCAGTTTCTGAATTGAATGTTTATTTCGGACACAAAATAAAAAATAATGGGGTTTTTGTTTAAGGCAAAAAAACAAGATTTTTGGGATTTCTAGACAAGTCTCCCAACCAGAGGTAAAGAAGGCTGGGATACTGAGATGGAAGGAGAGCTAGAAAGACATAGGATGGAGGGAATGAGCAAGATGGAGAGAGAGAAAGAGAGAAAGGGAAGGGAGCAAGAGAGAGGGCCTGGCTGTGGTACCTTGAGTTATAATGGAATAAAAATGTGGTGTGTGATGTTGGGGCGGGGTGGGGGGGTAGCTTCATGCACTGTCGCACATACACAAGCTGACAGCGTTAATGTGTTTCAGCTCAGGTTTTATGAATTATTAAACAGGAGCAAGGTGGCTGTGGAAGGGAGAGGGCAGGAAAGGTGTTGGTCAATGACTTCTGGAGTTAACCGGCTTCTGCGCTGACCGGGCAGGGGGGGCAGCGGTCTGGAAAGGACATGCCGAACACGGAACGCCGTCACGGCCACAAGATGAACCTTCAGCACTATAGGCCGAGCGACTGCGCTCTTTTTAAATGCAGAAGTGCTCATCTCAAAACTTCTGTGGTTATGGGGACATATTTCATAGCAAGTAGGAAAATAGGCAAAAAGCATGTCGTAAAAGGGATTGTTACAGGTGGGGTTTGAACCCATGACCTTGGAGTTTTTAGCGCCAAGTCCTAACACAGTTAGCCACTGTATTTTGTCTAGTATTGAGTGTGCTGGGTGTACCTCACTCATTGGTAAGAGTTAGACAACTGCAGAGTAAAGAAATGGTTTTCCATTACAGACGATCCATGTCTGGTTTTCGTGCGGCTGCTAGTGGGTGGAGCACCTTGATTGATAGGCGGGGCCTGTGTGATTTGGGCAACCTGTGGCTAATCAGCTACAGGGTTTATATGCAGGCCAGGGTGTGATGGTAACTTAGTTGGGAACTGAAAAGGTTAGGGTGGGAGCTCTGCTCCTGGTAAGGTTTGGTTTAGTTAAGTCCCAACTTAGTCAGGGTGGGAGCTCTGCTTCTGGTAAAGGTTTTTAAGGTTAGTCTGACCAAGTGAATTGAGACTTGTGTCAGTTTTTTTTCTGTTCTCTACTGTTAGTTGATTAACAGTACAATCACAAACCGTTCAAAGCTCCTGGTAAAGGCTGATATAGTTTGTCCCAAGTGATTTTAAACTTGGGTTGATTTATTTTGTGTGGTTTTTTTTTTTTTTTCCTTCCCTAAAGTAAAGTTCATTAAGGAACTGCCCCAAAGTGGGTTCATTTTTTTCATTTGCACAAGACAACCCCAAACAGAAGGTATCTTTTTGAGTTTCTTGAGAACCCTGAGTGATGGGACTTCAAGTTAAAGTTTACCTTGTCATAGATCCTACACTCCTTTTTTTTTTTTTTTTTTTTTTTTTTTTTAAAAAAAAAAAAGGTGTCTATAGGTCGCTCTGTCAGTTGATTGGTTGATCAGTCAGTTGGTCCACAAAAATTTACCCACCCTTTGGCAGCAACGGTTTTCATCCTTGGAGGCTAAGATTTGGCATGGAGGTCAAGGGTGTGTTTGTGAAGGTGTGTTTCTGTTCATGCTTCTTGGCTAAAAGGGGGTGTGGCAGTGGGAGTGGCCTGGTTGCAGCTATTGCAAATTTTTTTTTTCTTTTTTGGGGCTCTGTTTGTGTTGGGGCACTTCTTTATTCTCCCCAACTTAAAGACACTGATGGTGTCTTTTAGAACGGGTATTCCATAAGTCTGAGGATAGTAGTTATTGTTTCCTTTGTTACTTCCCAGTAGGACGAAGTGAAGTGGGAATGGAAGTGAAGTGAAGTGATACATAATTAATACCATAATTATTTAAAATGCATAAATAAAAAGCATATATAAATGGCAATGATCAGAAAAAAATGACATGTCTAATGCAGAATATATTTTAAAACATAAAATACATTACATTCTAATAAGCATGGATAAAATATGTCCAGTATGTAATACAGTGTATTTGCATTATGACAATCGATTTGTCGGTTTCTAAATTATTTTATAGATCAGACATATCGATTGTAGGAATGCAAAATGTACTATTCTGATTGCACTAGCAGTACAAAATTGGCAAGCTTTTCATATCAGATCCAATATGAATATTATTATGGCTTCACAGTTGTGGACATTAAATCATCTAATTTATGTCTGTGTATGAAATAAGAATCATAATGACAAGAATTTCAATAGTACATACTGGACTGATGGTTTGTATGAAATGGAAAAAGTAGAAAACAGCAGAACATCTCGAAACATAGCTTCTCAAAACCTGTAGCTTCTGTTTAAATTATGACTTCCACTGCAATACGTCACACAATAAGTCACAATTTAAAAAAAAAATAAATAAATTTTGCTTTAAAATGGATTGGTAAGTACTTCTATGTGCAGTCGGGAGTGCAACTTGAGTGAAGTCGATGAGAAAAGGAGCCTTTCGACTCGGACGATAAAATGTGATCCGCCACTAATGAAACGCCTCTTGTTCTGATGTGGAGATCGTCTTTGAAAAGGAGGGCTGATTGGAGAGCAGCTGTTTTGCATAGGGAGCTAATTAAGCGCGGAGCTAGAGACAGATGAGGAAGATTATCCTTCGGCAGCCAGCTCTTGTTGAAAAAACAAATCCTGTATTTTGCCCCCTCTGTTTCTCTCTCTCTCTCTCTCTCTCTCTCCCTCCATTTCGTCACAGAGTGGATGTTCATGCAAGGGCTGGATTAGCGGAGGTTTTTCTGAATTATGTTTTTTTTTTTTTTTGCTGTTGTTGGGTTCAATTTTATTGCTAATTAGAACATCAGCAAGAATCTGGGGGTGGAAATGTAAGAGAGATCAGAGGTTTTTGTGTATGGGGGGGTGGGAAGGGTGGAGAGGCACAATAAAGAGAAACAAGAGCAGTAGGGAAAAGGATAAATGCAGACTGAACGAGAGGTACAAGGAGTAGTGGGTGGAGAGAAAATGAGAAATGCTGGAGACAGAGGGGAAAGTAGCAGTATAGCGGTGTGCAGCTAGATTGCACTGGTGATGCTCTAGGACACTAGAGACTCTGAAAGGCTTGGAGTTTGCCTTCTCGGCGTTGGCAGAGAATGCTGAAGCAGAATGTGTGTTGGCGAGCACGGTGGAACCAGATTGCTGTCAACGGCAAATCATATAAACCTCTCATCCGTTCAGAATTCATCCGCCAGCCCCTTGAAAAATGAACACCAGTGCACGTCAACGACTGGACTGGCAGCACATAGACGATGCAGTATGTGTTCACTGAGCAAGCGATTAACAAATGTCTTCTCTCTCTGAAAGTATTGATGGTGATTATGTACCGTTATATATAAATAACAACCGTGTGATCATCACTGTTAGGGGCTGAACTGGAGAGTGCTGGGAAAGAGTGCTTCGTTTTAATACTGGCAGCCTGAGTTTCTGTCATAGTTGGCGACAGAAGGCCGCACTGTTCAACAGGACTTTACCATACTGTTGATAGACAATGCCGTACAGCAGTTAAGTACCTGGGCTTACAGCTCAGAGGTTTCAGGTTCAAATCTATGGGAGGAGGGCACAACTGTGAAGTACCCAACCTGAATTGCTTCGATAAAATGCCAATCTATATAAATGTAGAATATAAAACTAAATGGGGCAAGTAAGCCTGAATAAAGACATCTGCAAATAAAATAACATGGCAGTTACCTTGACTTGCTTCTTGCGCGCCTCCTCGTTGTTCTCGGCCTCCTCGTGTTCCTTGCTCCCCTGTGTGAGGTTGGAGTAGTTGGCCAGGCTGCTAAGCAACGACGAGACCATCGGGCTGGTGTCCATCTCCTCCTGCAAGACGCACAAGCAGGCCAGACAACGGATTTCAGTGCACCTGCGGACTGTCGTCCAGTTATTGTCCGGTTATTGCCCACTGTCTCGACCCATTCCTACGCACAGTAGCTGCGAAAGTCGGGCTTCATATTAATTCTTTCTTTCTCTCTTTCATTAAAATCTTGATTAGGAGCAAGAATATGTGGCCCTTATTTTTAATTTGGGTCCAACTTTGCAGTACATGGCCCTTATATGGTCGTATATTTAGCTTGATTGTGTGTGACTGTTTAATCAGTAAATAAGTCTTTAATATAAATGTAATGAAGTAAAACAACCCAGTCAAATTTTATCATTGTCAAGTCAAAATAATTGCACTTATTTTAGATAATACTGAGAATATCTGGCCATTTAATTTTGTAATGAACAATTACTTATATTTACCGGCATGTTAATATTTAATCAATCAACGTTAGTTGTTTGCAAACAAAAACTTTAACGTTTTATTGGCAGAAATTAGTAATCTCGAGCTTTGGCTGGCCTTTTTGTTTTTTTGTAACACTAATGACTAACATCGACGGGGCTTTTTTTTATAGGCCGTCCACAATGTCACTTTATCAAGAGGACGGCATTAAGGGCTTAATGTTTCATGAAATTACATCAGTAAATTCCAGAGGCGCACGAGGTTTTGACCTGTGTGTGTGTGTGTGTTTGACGTCAATGAGTTCATTTAAGTGGGGAAGCTTATGGACCATGGCAGGGCTTTTTCAGCAGGTAAATAAAAGCACCGAATCCCACACAGAGGGGGCATTAATCGTGCAAAGCTTTTTGTAGTTGATGCGCGTTTTCTTGTAATGGCTGGTAACATTCTGCATCGGTCCGCACTGCCAGAAATATGCTTACTCATAAGATTGCCCCCTGCCATCTATCTGCACCTACGGCTGTAATTACCCCCATCAATCTGTGTCACGTCTTTTATTTAATCACTTTCTGGAGTGTGTGTGTATGTGTGTTATGAGAGAGAGAGTGATAGAATGTGCATTTATATATTTTGTACATTTATTTATATTGTATATATGTATACAAGTAAAGAATGCGTTTGCATGTATGTATATACGTACTTATATACAGAAGGTAAACAAAAATGATACTACCAAGTGTAAACAATCTTGTGTTTTAAAGTAACATTATATTTATATTAATTTCAATGTTAATTATGAAGACATTACTGCTATACAATGTTTTAAGGTCAAAATTTAATATGTAAGTTTCTAAAGCAACTAACAGATTTTGAAAGAGGTCAAATAATTTGGTGACCGAACAGCAGATGTGTCAGACAGAAATAGCAAATATATTTAATGTGTCAAGGGGATTAGTGTCAAAAACCATGACGGCATACTTCAGACAAGCAACCGCACTGCAGCAGGAAGGCGGAGCAGTGGTCATTAGTGGAAGCTAACTGATGGGAATAGACATGTATTTAGCAATATGGCGGCTAAATATGCAATATGGCTGCCTCAGAAAACACTTGTTACCAAGGCCGATGGTGTAATGAGCACAAAACCTGTACTTCTGAACAGGGAGTGTTGTTTGACGGATGGCCATTTAGTCCGTTACTACAGCTAGATGGGTTAATGTTTAGGAAAAGCCAAAGGGCACCTTCAACCTTCATTGTTAAACATGGTCATGGATCATGTATGGTCTGTGTGCAATCTGATGTGAGTCAGTGTGTCCGGTTATCACTCTGCATGATTGAATTACAGCCAAGGAATAGAAAGCCGTTTTACATGACTTGATGGTCATGCGTGGTTTCCTCAAGACGTTCTCAATATGTGACTTCCCTGAGCTCTAGATTCAAGTCAACCACCTTCCACTGCCTACCTAATTTCCAGGTCTAAACATCTT